TGGCTAACACAATTGATGTAATTATCACCTACAAAATTATCTACATTTGTTCCGAATTCGGTTAGCCATATCGGCGCAGTATATTTTTCATTTTCTGTCGTGATATAACCCCAAGCATCCTCAACTCTGTTCTGCATTTTTGTACATTCGGATGAATGCCCGTAATTCGACCATGGATACCAATGTCCTTCATAAACAATTTTCGATTTTATCGGTTCTGGTAACAAATCTTGTACAGGTGTATAACGAATAAATGAAAGATCTAAATCATAATTCAAACCAGAGATAACAATTAATATATCTGGATTTGTCTGATGAACTGTGTCAGTAACACCTATTAGTACGTATGTGTACCAATCTGGTAAAGTTTGTCCTGAACCTCGCAATTCGTTTCTTAAACTAATGGCAACAATGTGATTTTTCTGTCTGGCAATTAGTGACATCAATCGAAGTCCATTTTTCCACTTGATCGGATCAAAATATTTATCGTTCCAAAAACCATTACCCTTCTGCTCGAGAGCAAAACAGTATTTAAATTCTGTTTCGTATTGCTGTAACTTTGATTCTCCAAAAGGTTCTTAGAATTTGTCCAGTTTGAGTTATTTCTCGACGGAAAGCTTTTCTAGCGTTCAATCTGAAAGCCGTTGTTTGAAAAACGAAATTGTAACTGTAAATGACTCTCTTTCAAAACGCAAGAAAAGTCTCCAAAAACGGTTATTTTCCACATATCCCGTCTTTTTTGAGATCTTGGACTTTTTTCCAACATTTAGGTGCATCTTTTGTAATTTTAAAAGGAAAAGTTGTAATGATTTGCTGTAAGAAAATAGATGACTTAAAACACAACTGCTTATAAATAAAAATCCGCGAGGTATTTCTGAAAAGGTTGTTATAATCACAAAAAATTATACGAAAGTCGGCATTTTGCGTAAAAATGTCGGCCAAACTCAGATTCAAACAAAATTATGGATTTTTAGAAACAAATGAAGTTTAACATTGGGCAATTTATGAAATTAGAAGCATTCGGAGAAAATCGATGTCCTATACGTCTCGAAAAATCCGAATTGTCTCAAGAAATGAGCGTTCTTAAAACTTTCGAGAGCTGTTTAGGGACTGATTTCGATGAAAATCAAACTTTCCGCAAATTTTGCTCAGTTTCAAATTCAAAAAATTCTCTTTTCTTAAGATAAATCGAAGTTACGAGTTTACATTGTGTCTTTTTCATAAAAAAAAATCTCTAGCAGTGGCATTAGGGATACGGAACAATGCGTATTGCTCCCCTCAATTTAATACGGAGGCATTGATCTGTATAGTCTCGTTTCCAGGCTCTAGTTTTTTGCTTCACAATTTTTTGTTAGATGACAAATTCTCCTCTAAGAAAGTTGAATTCCTTTCGACTTCGGGACGAAATCTGATCAGTGCACGTTTACAGCAACGAACTATCTTTTTCAAACTTTTACTGCCTTTGACCAGCTTACCGACTCGATCAGCTTCGCAACGGAGGAATTAAAGCCGTCCGCGAACCATCTTGTAATATGAGACTACGTATTTACTCCTAAACTCCTCGAACACCAATAGTCAGCCTTACTCAACTTCTAGAAAGACAGACGCTCATCATTATCCAACACTCGTAATTTCATCGTACTTCTTTCTCTCTTCTCTCTTCTTAATCCATTTTAAACTTCATATACTCGTTACTTTGTTACTCCAGACTGATCTAATCTGATCTTGTTCTTTCTTTAAAAGAAATTTATTTCCACCAGTTTCAAATGCCTTCGCTCCTCCTCGTGTATGTACAGAGCTGAAGGACATTGAGAAGAAAAAGTGGAGAGAGGAGGATGACAGCGTTGTTATAAGGTCAATCGTTTATTTATTTATTTTCAAGTATCATCAAACGAGAAGAAAAAGGAGTTCAATAACTTATGCGTAGCGGAAGATGGGAGAGAGAGCAACGTCATAAATGTATTTCCAGGTGGATCTCTCCGCTCTCACTATTAAGAGGACACTCATCTCTTATATCACTCGCTGGTTGCGTCTATCTGCTCATCC